AGACATAGCTGTAACACACTATGACAGACAGTGGGGGTCTGGAGGCAATCTAACATTTTATTTTTCGGCTGTAGACAGATGGTGAAATTGATACCAGTAACAACAATATCACAAGATCACAAGAGAGGTTTGGTTGAAGGCCTATCGGCCCACCTGATCTCATCAATCCAAAATACCAACCCAACCATTCTCCCATCAAGCTCTTTTCTAAATGAGTCCAGTGTCCTGACTTCAGCCACCCTTTCTAGTAACCTGTTCCAATCATTAATTATCCTCTGGGTAAAGAAATAATTTTTAGCTTCTACAGCAACATTCATGACGTCTCAAAGCGTTTCACAGAATATACTGTAAAGTGGATTGGGGGTGAAATGTTGTAGCCAATTGTGCACAGCAGTGTCCCAAAAGCAGTCATGGATTGAGTAACAAAATGTTGTTGCAACTGTTGTTGACTGGGAGAAGGGAAGTGATTTTAGAAGTGCCAGAGGCTAAAGTGTGGTGGAGGCCATGAGGAATGATAATAATAATTCTTGCATTTGATATAGCACCTTATCACGTCTTCAAGATGTCTCAAAGCGCTTCACAGAATATACTGTAAAGTGAAACAAAAACAGAGAGAGCTGGGAAAACTCAGCAGGTCAGGCAACATCTATAGAGAAAGGAAAGTGAGTCAACGTTTCGGGTCCATGACCCTTCGTCAGAACTGGCGTTTCCTTTCTCCATAGATGCTGCCTGACCTGCTGAGTATTCCCAGCTCTCTCTGTTTTTGTTTCAGATTGCCAGCATCTGCAGTATTTTGTGTTTTGATATGGTGAAGTGAATTGACTGTATATTTTGTCGATATAAGCAACAGAGAAGCCTATGTTAGTGGATTGCATAGTTAGGGAGGGGCGAGACTGAAGGAATTTGAAGGCTGAGGCAAAGATCTTAAGAGTTGATCTGTACATATAGTTTACATGGTTTACACATGGTTTACACATGGTGCATAATAGGCTTCCCTCGAGATTTATTGTCAATCGGTGCTGAAGAGTTGACTCATAGTAATTTTGAATCCTTTGGAACCGGTATGTAACAATAATCTTTACTTTTGATATTGTGTCTTTCTCATCGGGAGGATGTCTCAAGGCACTTTAGAAGATAATAGTGTGATTGTATTTTCTGGGCGGACGCAGTAGCCAATTTGCACACAATGTCCCAATCAATAGCAATGTCCCAATGACAGCAATGTAATGCGTTATCATACCTGCTGTGGTTGAAGTGTAGAGCACTTCTGAACTATAATCGCAAGCATGGTTCCATTTTGCCATCTCTGCACGTCTGCATCTTATTTATTTCCGGGAAGTCTGGTGTGCAGAAAAACACATTTAGCTTCGACTGCCAGCATCCCAGGCACAAATACATCAAAGAATGTAACTTCTGAGACTTCAGATCAAGAAAAATGCAATTTAAGGCACTTCTTGTTATCAAGGGCCCAAACACAACATTACTGACACACACCAGAAGTGGCAGAAACAGTGCCTAATTGTGCCCGGAAACCCCAAGCCTCTGCTTGTGAGTCCTGGGATAAGAACACGGTGATGTGACGACTTGTTTGACTGAATTTACACTGAAATTGAATCAGTGTAATTCATGTTAGTGTATTCCTCATTCTTTAGACTTTGTATATTTTTTCACAATTAATAGCAATCCTTGCCTTTGGTGCAGCATCTATAAAACCTATGTTTTGTGAGTGCATTGGAGGTTAGCACCAGAGGTATTCACTGCTGCTGCTCCCTGCCTGATGTAGAAGTGGAGTCGACACCCCTTCTATATCACTTGCAGATGTTGTGCTGTTTCCTAAGCAGGGAAAGCAACCGTTTTATGTGGTAATCATTTGAAAATGTATGTGAACTATTCCAAAATTCTAGCTGGTGAAGTTTAATGTCTCACACTTCCAGAGGATTTGTGCGACACCTCTGGAATCCTTAAGATGTATGTTATTGCAAGTGCTACGAAATGAAAAAACATTGTTTACTGAAAGTTAGCAGCACCAATTGGTTGTAAAATTCTGAAGAATGGAATTAGATGACTCTGTTCATTTCTTGATGATCTCCACAGGATTTCAAACATGTACATCAATGTGAGGCCCATTTAGATTGAAGTCATACAAGGTCTATCCCACTAATCTCGCCGCCTCTCGTCCCAGCGTAGACATCTTGGCTGCTGCCCCCGACCCGAGCTGGCCCACCCTCAAAATATCCCCCTCCCTGCAACTCTTCTGCTCTATCCTGCTCTCTCTCCACCCTCCCCGCCTCCTATCTCTGCTTGACCCCCCCAATTCCCTCCCTCTGGTCCAGACTGGGAATCCTCTGCCGGGCTCATCATGGCACTCAGCGTTGGCTGTCCAGCAGTAGCCCTACCGACTGCCCCATTCCCCACTACCGCCACAAGCAACCCCGGACCCAGACCCCAGGGGCTAACCTCTCCTCCCTCATCCACATCACCACTAATCCATTACCCTCTCTCATCTCACACATCCCCCTGCCAACTTCACTCCACATTGGCCTTCAAAACGTCTGCTCCATCTGCAATAAGACCCTGGCCATCAATGATCTCATCCTCGATGAGAACATTAATAATAATAATAACATTGACATTATGGCCCTCACTGAAACCTGGATCACCCCAGGTGACACCTTGCCCCTCACTGAGGCCACACCACCCGGCTACACCTACCACCATGCCCCACACCTCAACTGACGGGTGTCACTTGCCCTATCCCCCTACTCCACCGGCTCATTCTCCTCTTTTGAACACCTTACCTTCTGCCATCCCTCCCAACTGTCTCTAAAAATCCTCCTAATTTACCGGCCCCCAAAATCCTCCCCCACCTTCATCTCTAACATCTCCACCCTCCTTGCTTCCCTCTGCCTCTGCTCCGACTGCCTCATCAACCTAGGCGAATTCAACCTCCATTTCAGCCCCTCCTGCTCTACCTCCTCAGACTTCTCTCTCCTCTCCTCTCTCAATCTCTCCCTCCACATCCACTCTGCTACCCAGACCCATGGTCGCCCATTTGACCTGGTGATCACCCGGGGCCTCAGCGTCTCGGATGTCACCATCACTGACAAGGTCACCTCTGACCACCATTTCATCACCCTCAACTCCCATATCCCTCTCCCCACTGCCTCCAAACTTACCACCATCTTCTACTGCCCGTGGAAGAAGATCTCCCCGCAGTCCCTCTCCACTGCCTTCGAGTCCTCTGATCTCCTCACCCTCTGGCCCACCTCTCGTACCAACCCACTCACTGCGCTTACTCTTCTCCACAGCACCCTCTCCACCACACTCGCAACCCTTGCCCCCTTCACCTCCCGAACTGCCTCCTATTCCTGATCCTCACCCTGGTTCACCAGCCACCTCCGCTCGCTTAAGGGCCAGGTGTGGGCTGCCGAAAGCACTTGGCTCAAATCCGGCCTAACGGTCCACCGCCACATCTGGCTGGACATCATCAAGACCTACCGTTCCGCTCTCTCCTCGGCCAAATAGTCCTTCTCTTCCAGGTTAATCCTGGAGGCGAAGGGCAACCCCAGGCTCCTGTTCTCCACCACCAACCGGCTCCTGCACCCTCCCTGTCATGCCTCACAGATACTTTCCACTACGAGAAAATGCTGAACTTCCTCAAGTTCAAAATCAAGGGAATCCACTCAGCTGCCACTGCCCTCCCAATTGATGGCTTCCAATACGCTTTCTCCTTTTTATTTATTGTTTTATTTTTCTAAGTTCTTTTAAGAATGATCAAAGTTCACACTGGCAATATTCTTGCATCTGGAGGGAGGAAAGGAGGTTGTGGAGATGGAAAGGGCTGACAGGAGCGTGTGAGTTATTCATGTACAAATGAATACTCGGCAGCTTGGTGGGCTAGAAGGTTATCCTTTCACCATGGGACCTCTGTTTCAATCTGCTCAGATATGATGAAAGCCTTTCTCTGACTGGAAGCTCTCAGAGGTTGTAAGTAAAATGAGTGGGTGGTCTGCAACGCTTTCTCTGTGTGAGTGAGTGCTTGGTGTGAAACTTGTTATCAATCTTCTTATGGTTGCCAGTATCACTTAGGAAGGCGATGAGAATGGCAGTGTGGAGAGATAACAGATGCTCTTCGATTGAAATAATAATGCATTTGACATAGCGCCTTATCACAACTTTGAGACAACTCAAAGTTCTTCGCAGAATATACTGCAAAGTAAATTGACTGTATATTTGTGGGCGAAATGCGGCAACCAAATGTGCACAGCAATGTCTTACAAACAGCTATGGTGTAGGGCAGTATGATTTGCACTGTTACCTGTAGCCCATGGTTTACATAGTCTGTAAATCTTCGAGTGCAAAGTTTATTGGAATGAAAAATTCAGTGTCACTATTGTCATTATGCCAATTATCAAATTGTCGAACATTGCAATCCAACCTCTTTAATCACTGATATGTCCTTCTTCCTGACTTTGATACGTTACGTTGGTTCGAAGCCTGTTTTCAGAATGTTTCATCACCACCTTGGCTGCCCACTGTACAGTTGTGGGCCCAAATCTTTTACTTGACCCCAGAATCTGAGTTTGAGTGTTGCCTCACTGGGCACCCTTCTGACCTACCGTGCTGCCAAACACCCAATTGTACATGAATAACTCACACTCCTACAGCTTTTCTGCACCACCTTGTTTCTTCCCTCCAAATTCAAGTAGCAATTGAGAGTGAAACCATTGGCAGATTCTCTCTCTTCCCTAGCCTGGAGACTTGGTAGTCAATTGTAGCGGCCTTTCCACTGTCCTGAGTAAAACCAGTAAGTTGGAGTAAACCAGGGAACCAAATGCGGTACCATCCTAGTCTGTATGACCTACTTCTACACAATTCCTTACCAACTGAGCCATGTGTGGGAACTTGCCTACTTTGCAAAATGCCTTGTTTGTGGGTTATTCGATCTGAAATTTCTACAGTGCACCAATGCATCTTACCTCTCTTCTGTCTTTTAACAGGGGAGCCAGAAGTTAAATACATTGGAAACATGCACGGGAATGAGGCGGTAGGACGAGAGCTCCTGGTTTTCCTGGCCCAATACCTGTGTAACGAATATCAGAAAGGAAATGAAACCATTATCAATCTAATTCACAGCACGCGGATACACATCATGCCGTCCATGAACCCTGATGGGTTTGAGAAAGCCGCCTCTCAGGTGAGTAGAGGGCAGGAGGTGTCCGAAGGTGGCTGGGACACTGCACCAATATCTCTGGTGAAGGGGACATGTGGAAGAGCTTATACATGTTGTTTCCCTCTGAAATAAATGCAAAATCCCTTTCAAGAATGCTTTTCAACCATCTGCATTTCCCAGTGATTCACTCTCCTGAACTAAACCGATTTATCTGATGCAAAAGAAAAATTATTTCTACTACTACAATTTTGTCCCCCTCTCCTGTCCTGAATATGCTGGTGGGCTCATTGTTCACGTCTTACGCAGGCTTTCCTTCTTCTTGTGTGAACCCTTAAAGTCTGTACCAGCAGGAGATTTAACTATGTGATGGGGGCGGAGGGCATCACAAACAGACCTAAACTTCTCCTCCCACGTAGACACTTTCCAGCAGAGGATAGTAATCTAGATCAGAAACCCTGGTTTAATTAGTTCTCAGCAGCCTAGCGGCACTGAGGCCTACAGTGTACATCTGCTATTGCCTTGGCTGAGCTCTCAGCAAACTTAGAATCAGACGAGGGTTCATATCTGGGACCTTCCTGAATGGTTTGGCTCAGGTCCAGACTGGGCTGCAGCTTTACCAAATGAGTCATATGGTACTAACTACATTTTTTTAAGCATCCTCGTTTCATCAGTGAATTCTAAATTTGAATAACCCAGTGTTGTAACCATTTTGAGAGAAAGTATGAAATATTAATGAACTGTTCATTTCTCGAGGGCTGTTCCCTTCTGTTGTCTTGATATGCAAATGGAAATAGCCCTTGGAAACAGGAAGACAGACACACACCTACAAAAACAATAATCACTTTCTGCTGTACTTTCCTCATAGTTTGGCGACCATGAATATGTTACACATCCTTCCATGCAAACACCTCGCTCATATTTCTCATTGAGAGGCGATGCAGCACAAGATCACAAAATTGGTTTGGGTGAAGAAGGCTTTAGGATCCATCTGATCTCAACCCTCCAGAAGGTCCAATCTACCGTCCTCCCATTGCAATGTTGAGCTGTTTTTCAATGAGTTAATGTTCTTGTCGCAATCATCCTTCCTGGTAACCTGTCTCACTCTTTACCCTCTGAGTAAAGAATGTCTGTCCTGAAATTGCCCTTTGCAACTCTAAAATAATTGGGATGAGCAGACTGGAACAAGGAGAATCTTTCCCTGAAACAATAGAGTTGAATTTTTTTGCTTTTCCTTGTATTCATTTTTTTTAAATATATACCCCTGTTACTGCTCTCACTGTGCTTCAAGCTTCTGTAGACTCTCCAGGGCAAGGCTTCAGGTTCACCATGCTTCTGATTATCCCGTAGCACCATCTTGTGGACAACCTTGATCTCATCATATAATAATAGCCCCGTGAACAGTTCAATAACTTGAACTCATAAAACATTTTTCACATAGAATAAATGTCTCATAGTGCTGGATAAATGATTATGGGTATCATTGAGCAGAGAGGGAGGAGAATGCAATTGTTTATGTCAATGAAAGCCACAGTCAAAAGATAAAGATTTTTTGCAAGATGAAGATTTGGGGAGAGATTTAGAACCATAGAAATTTACAGCAAAGTTGATGTCATTTAGCCTATCATGTCCTTGTGAGGGACAAAGATCCTGGTCCTTGCCCCTCTACTCACTGACATCATAAACACTCCCTGTTCTCTGGTGCTGTTCCCACCCCATTAAAAACTGCCGTCATCACCCCTATCCTTAAAAAACCCTCCCTGAACCCATCTCTACTCCCAAACTACTGCCCCATTTCCAACCTCCCTTTCCTCTCCAAGGTCCTGGAACGAGTTGTTGATTCCCAGTTTCGCTTCTTCCTCTCCCGCCACTCCCTTCACGAACCCCTCCAAACGGGTTTCCGTGCTGCCCACAGCACAGAAACAGCCATGGTCATAGTGACAAATGACTTTCCGTCCATCTGCGACCAGGGGTCCCTCTGCCTCCTCGTCCTCCTTGACCTCTCCGCTGCTTTCAACACCGTTGACAACTCTAGCCTCATCCACCGCCTCTTCTCTCACCTCCACGGCTCTGTCCTTGACTGGTTCAGATTGAACCTCTCACACTGCCACCACTTCATCTCCACACACGGCTTCTCCTCTAGCCCCCCCACAGTCTCGTGCGGTGTTCCTCAGGGCTCTGTCCTTGGTCCCCTCCTCTTCAATATCTATATGCTCCCTCTTGGTGACATCATCTCAGTCATGGGGTCAACGTCCACGTGTCTGCGCATGACACACAACTGTACCTCTCTGCCTCCAACCTTGATTCCAGGACCACTGTTGTCCTGACAGAATGTCTGTTGGACATCGAGTCATGGATGAGAGCTAATTTTCTTCAGTTGAACGTCAATAAGACCGAGGCTCTCCAGATTGGCTCCCGTCAGTGCCTCCACACCTCATGCGCTGACAGCATCACCATCCATGGTTGCACACTTCATCTTGCTAAGCCAGTCCAGAACATTGGTGTCTTGTTTGACACTCATCTTTCCTTTCTTCCCCACATCTGTGCCATGGCCCGTTCTGCCTTCCCCCACCTCCACAACATCGCCCGACTCCACCATTGTCTCATACTGCAGGCTGCCGAAACCCTCTTACACGCTTCATAACATCAAGGCTTGACTATGCAGACTCCTTGCTTGTCGGACTCCCTAGCTCCTCCCTCCATAGGCTGCAGATCATCCAGAACTTTGTAGCCCGCGTCCTCTCCTGCACGAGGCTCCGTAACCCTATCACCCCCATCCTCGCCTGACTCCACTGGCTTCCCATCACACAGAGGATACAGTTCAAGATCCTGATCCTCACCTTCAAAGCCCTCCATGGTCTTGCTCCCCCCATCTCTGTGACCTCCTAAGCCCCTACCATCTTGCTCGCTCCCTCCGCTCAGTGTGCTCTGGCCTGCTTCACGTCCCTCGCTTCACTCGCCTCACTATTGGCGGGCGGACCTTCTGCCAATCCCATCTTCTGGAACTCCACCCGCAGTCCCTCCGCTTCACCCCCTCCCTTGCCTCCTTTAAGATTCATCTCAAGACCCTCCTTTTTGACCATGCTTTCGATCTCCCTGCTTCCCCCCCTGTCCTCTACCCTCCCTGATCCCGACCCCCAGCTCTGATCTGAAACTCTGTCTGTCTAGCGGCTTGGGACATCCTCCCGACATGAAAGGCGCTGTACAAATGTAATTTTGTTTTATTGTTGTTGTGAACTACTACTTTTTCCCTCTTGAAAACTGAAATAGATCTTGCCTAATTACCGCATACGCAAAACATTCTACCCTATCGATTATTAAAGCCTCTCATAATTGTAAATAGCTTTATCAGGTCTCTACTCAACATTCTCTGTTGCAATAAAAATAGGCCTAGTTTCTCCAGTCTCTCCTCGTTTTCAAATAGTTTTGATATGATTTATTTATATACTTCATTTGTGCATTGATCTGACACAATGCACGAGTTGTATTGAAGGTAAAAGTCCAACGTGAATCCATTTTAGAGAAATCAAACTGATTTTGAGTGCCATTTCCAAATCACTTGCAGGAGATGGTCTTCATGGTGCAATTGATGCATTGATTACATTTGATCAGGTTTTACTACAGGCAGTTTTTGATGCAATAATCTTTTCAGTCTTGTCATCTTGTGGCACCAGCCTTCAGCAGGTCTGGTTTACTGAAATCAACTTTGCTACTTGTGCGTGTTGGAATGCTTCATTTGAAATATAAAGTCTGGATCCAATTTTGTATGAAAAGCTTGCATCGGTTGAAGGTTTTGGAGCACCAACATTAGTTTCCTAAAAATAGAAATGTACAGGACCATAAAAGATAACAGTGGTTTTAAAAGATCTGCTGTCATCTAATAAATTGGTGGAGTAGGCTGGATGGATTGAATGGCCTCCTTTGTTCTTATGTTCCAAGAAACATGCCTTTCAACTCCCCTGTTATTGGCGCTTTTATAGGAAGTTGCAATGGTCTGCTACTACCTGAAATTGTTACCGTGTAAAATTGTTATTATGTATGAACTTCCTCAAAGCATTCTTGTTGCAACAGATTATATACAACTTAGTGGAGAGCAAAAATGGATTGGAGTAATTTTTGTGCTCTAAACATTATATGACTGTTTGTCTACATTTTAAGCAATATTTGGCTTATGTTTCACAGGCCATTTTTAATTCAATCATCAGTATAGTTTCATCCAGATTTTTCTCTCTGCTTTTCCCCTTCCAGACAGGTAATCTGAAGGACTGGCTTGTTGGTCGCAGCAATGCCCAAGGAATAGACCTCAACAGAAATTTCCCAGATCTGGACCGAATTGCCTACGTGTATGAAAGGGAAGGGGGGCCCAACAATCACCTGCTGAAAAACATGAAGGTTGCTGTGGACAAAAATACCAGGGTAGGTGACCGCCCAATGCTGAGACAAGCCCATGGGTGTTAAGCATCAGTAAATATCTTACAGTGAGAGATAAGAGGGGTCTCCCTGGAGCTGAACTGGCTCCAAGGTGACATGTTTGGCAACAGAATGTCGGAATTGAGCCAAAGCTGTGACTAGTCCGATTCCTGAGCCAGGTGGACTCACAGTATTACAGGGCACTGCTGATGACAGCAAAGCCAGCCTGGCTCATTGGCAGGACGTGGAAGGGCAGACCATTCACTGAGCGCAGGGAATCACTCTGAGACGCTACCCTGCATGGAGGGCGCTATATGTGCAAGTTGTTGTTGTTGAATCATTCCACTTAGCTCCTGTTAACGCTGCAAGCCAAAGCCCTAACAGGTAGGCTGGTCCTAGCTGGACAAGCATTGGGAACGCTTGCCAGGCAGTGCTCTCAATGGCAAGCTATGAGGTTTTAGTTGGTTAGACTCCAGCAGTACTCCAACTGGGGTCCCCAGTTGAATTGAGGTTGGTTCTCGCCAACCTGTGCCTAATACTTTCTGGAATTAGGTAAGCAGGATGTGTCCCTCCAGGGAGAGAGTGCGCATTTCATTCCAACAATCTATCTCTGGAATTTCCATGTGTAGATGAGATGATGGGATTCTCAGATTGGTTTGGATACTATTAAGCATGGTGATAGGTTTCTGCATGTGTCAGACACTTGGCTGAGGAGAGTTTGGTTTCAGCTAGAGGAAAAAGATTTGGGAGATAGGAGGTCAGAGAAAAGGGAGGGAGAAAGGGTAAGAGACTAAGAAAGATGAGGGTGCAGGTTAACTGTTTCTTTTAGCCATCTAGAATGCATGTGTTATAGTGCTCCTTTGTGTCAAAACAATTTGTATTAATGTATTTATTCTATTATACTAATTCCCTCCACCTTGCACCCTCCCGCTCCACTTTCAAATCCCACCTAAAGTCCTTCCTTTTTGATCGTGCTTACGGTCACCTCCCCACTCCTTCTCCCCCTGGCTTGGGGTCAGACTCTGCCATTGTGAAGCGCTCTGGGATGCTACCCTGCGTGAAGGGCGCTATATAAATGCAAGTTGTTATTGTTGAATTAGGAGTTACTTTTGAAGTGCAGTAACAGGCAAATATATAGGCAAATATGACAGCTAATCTACAATAGGAATGCCCCATGCACATTAGTCATGTTAATTAATCATTAATTAATCTAATTAGTTGAGCCAAATAACCTGTTTCCAACCTGTAACTTTCTATGTAATTCTACACAAGAATGTAAACTTGTCACCAGGGAACTTTAACAGGTAACTGACCTGAGCTTTAATGTTCCTACTCTGTCTCTGTGAATTGCTTTGAGTGTTTTTCTATGCGAAAGATGCTATTTATATAAAAGTTGTATCTGTATTCAAGTTGTTTTTTCATCTGAACAACACCTCCATTACTGCAGTGCTCTCACACGTCTGCTCTGGGGCTGAACCTTTATAAACAGGGGTGAAGGTACTACCAGTTTAACCAAACTTTATTAGTGTATTCAGATTTCAGTTGCTGGCTACTGGCTTTTTACTGAACAAAAACCTCCGGAATTCTGTTAGCTGACAGTCAAAAGCTTCCACTATTTAGAATTGGAAGTTCAATGCCTCAGACCTGCTTCAAAGACCTCCATTAAGAAAAGCTTTGGCATGTTCAGGTTGATTTAATGTGATTGTAGGTGTCCTGAAGCATACTGGTTAGGCACTTGCCTTGCAAGCGAGAGGATCCGGGTTCTATTCCTGGGCAGGGCGAAGCCTTAGGCAAGTTTCCTTACTCCGCATGCCTCTGTTTACCTAGCAGTAAGTAGGAACCCAGTTGTTAGTTGATTGGCAGATCGCTAACCGGGGATGGTAATTGCTCCCCTCAAAAATTGGTAACTCAATCCACGACTGTTTGGGGGGCACTGTTGTGCGCAATTGAAATATACAGTCAATTCACTTATGCTTGAATGCTTTGTGAAGTGCTTTGAGATGTCTCAATGATTCGATAAGACGCCCTATCAAAAGCAAGGATTATGATTATTATTATCAATATCAAATTGAATCATGAAGTTGGCCTCTGTTTTGTCCGATTTCTAAAGTTTGTTATGCCCCAAGTAGACCACTAGGTGGAACACTTTGCTTGCTATATAACTCCTGCCTATCATTTCAGCTCATACTGAGGAAGGGCTGGTCTTGCTAATTGTGGTTCCTAAAAAACACAGGAATTGCATGGCTCTCTCGACTGCTCTTTTGGCTGTGAGATGTTACTGTGAAGCTGAGGAAAAGGGGAAGGAATTAAAATGTACATAACCAAATAACGAGATTCAAAAGCAATGTCTGCAGCCATAAATTGTGATACCTAAATAATCAGATAGAGCACAGACATTTGTAAATTTATGTCTACATAAACACAATCACTTTATTTTATTTCACAGTAAAATTGAGTTGTTTCAATGAATGATAAGAGGCTGTATCAAATGCAAGGATTATTATTATGTTTTGGGTCTTTGTAATTTTGATTATGCCCTTCAGGTCCCATCTGCCTGTTCAGGTGGATGTTAAAGATCCTATGGCAGTATTTGAAGAGAATAGGGAGTTTCTCATGGTGTCCTGACCAACAATCCCCCAGATAAAATAAAAATTGTTCATTCACTGTGTGGGGGACATTATTGTGTTCAAATTGGCTGCCGCTTTCCCCTGTAATTGCGCTGTCACTATACAGAAAAACTCTATTAATCACTTTGAGACATTTTGATATGGTAAAGTGCTAGATCAAATACAAAGATTATTATTTACGTGTTGATTGCAATAGTTTGTTTGATGCCTTATGTTTTAAAACGTGATGTTTGATTTGTAAATGTGTGATTATATTAAACCTGTTCTGTTCCTCCAGCTTGCACCAGAGACCAAAGCTGTTATTCATTGGATCATGGATATCCCATTTGTCCTCTCAGCAAACCTTCACGGTGGTGATATTGTTGCAAACTTTCCCTATGATGAAACTCGCTCTGGTAAATATAGATAAGAAACTCTTTACTACATCTAGAATTAATACTTTGACATTTACCCTCGCTCAGCTAGTAACTCTACTGCCTCTTGTCAAATTGAGCCAATCTGGATTGGGAAGATCCTTAGTTCAAATCTTTGCCTCTCTTGAGTGGTTTATCTCCACCTGAGCAGCAGTAAGAGGGGGCAGAATTATTCTCACTGGGCTGAGAGGTCGGGCGATAACAGCCAGGATTCTTGTTCCTGATTGCCATTTCAGTTGATATCTGTGTGTGCGAGGATAAGATCCATTGCTGCCCATGGTTGAATAACCTGCCAACACTCACTGTCTGCACTTTCATGTGAAGAATAGCCACTAGGGCAGGGATCCAAAGAACCATCTCACAACAAAGAGTCAGGAACACCATCAGGAGAGGAAGGAAGAATGTGTGTGTGTGTATGTGTGGGGTGGGGGGTGCAAAAGTTCAGCACACATAGATTTGGACAATTTTGTACCTAACTACAATATTTTTTTTACACATTCAACTGGGTAAAGGGAGGCCTGAAATTCCACCTGGTTTTAGCCTTAAGACCATTGTCCTAAAATTTCAGATTATCCAGAAAGTTAGCAAATTCTTACAATTAGTTAATTTGGGAGCCTATTTTTTTATTCAGCTCTCAAAAAAGCCTGAGAAACATCAGCTCTAAATTTAGACTGAATTCATGAAATTGACAAAATTCTGGAACAATTCGAAATGTTTAGGACAATGGTGTAAAGGCTGAAACCAGGTAGAATTTGGGGTTCCTAAACGTAAGGCTGGAACACTCTCTCAATTACGGTCATCTCCCCTCTTCCCCTGGCTCGGTGTCGAGCTCCGCTATTGGCAAATGCTCTGGGACGCTAGGTACCCTGTGTGAGGGGCTCTGTATAAATGCAATTGTTGTTGTGAATTGTTGTCACTACTGAGGTAATTATTACCTGAAGGATAGCATGGGATTCTGTGCATATGGTGATTGGTGAATATTGTAACTTAAAAAAAACACACAGAATTATTTTTTTAATAACAAGATCACCAGATTGGTTTGTACAAAGGAGGCACTTTGGCCGATTCTGATCTCATCCCTCCAGTATACCCTCCCATCCTCCCATCACAGCACCAAGCTGCTTTTTAAATGGAAATGATTTGTTGCATCAGGTTTGGACCAGAATGCTGACCTGAATTGCTTCTTTCTCTTGTGCCCCCACAGGTTCCATTCACGAGTACAGTGCGTGCCCTGATGATACCATTTTTAAAAGCCTGGCAGGGGAGTATGCCACTTTCAATCCTGTCATGTCCAACCCCAAACGACCCCCGTGCCATTCAAATGACGACGACAGCAGCTTTGTGGATGGAACAACCAATGGAGGAGCTTGGTACAGCGTCCCAGGAGGTATGTCACAACTAACCATTAAAGCAACAGCTTTGATACTAACTCCTGAGTCAATTCTACGTGCTTTGACTTGAAACATAACGTTCTGCCCTGGGAAATGCCCGTGCAATCTTCAAAACTCTGCAGTGATCATTTTTTTTCACTTTGCTACAGAATGGAGTCTTGGCCAACATTCCCCCAGATAAACTTGGTCACTCACTCTGTGGCTGTTTGTGGGACACTGCTGTGCCTGACTGCACAATGGTGGTACGCAACTTTTACGAAACATACATAGAAACTTTAAATGTCTGCTGCTTATTTCCTCCTGTTTTATCTCCTTGCGTCTGGGAATGGTGACTTACACTGGGGCATAGTTTCATGGGAAGAACTTTATACATGAGCCTGACACTGTGTGCCGATGTTTGTCTGTCCACGGAGAGCACCCAGGGTCGTTTTCTTTAACTCATTCTTAGGTGATCTTGCCCTCACCTTTATACATCTATTCCCCTCCTTACCAAGGACCTTGGTCCTAGCCTAAGGATCACTGCATCATTTCTGCTCTCTGACTGAGATCAGTATGTCCGTGGGGGCAGGGAGAACTCCCGGTAATCATCATTCACTAATTTTATCCCAAAGTGTTGACCATTTCAGACAATATAATAGTGCTTTTGCTGTCTTCCAGGTATGCAGGATTTCAACTACCTCAGCAGCAATTGCTTTGAGATTACAGTGGAGCTGAGTTGCGAGAAGTTCCCACCAGAGGACACACTGCCACAATACTGGAAGGACAATAAAAACTCCCTCATTAATTATATTGAACAGGTTAGTGAAGTGGAAAATGCACAGAGTTCCTGGACCAAGCTGATTGTAGAAAGGCATCCCTCTTCTTTGACCTCTTTAACCAGCATTGGCCCATTGTCAAGCCATACATAGCCTTGTCTGTATTCTGAACTGCATTCACATTTGTTGTTGTGAGCTGATTCCAGGAAAGTTATTGAGATCAGTTGGGATGAATGTGCATTTGCTCAGGTCCACATTCCTGATTATATATTCAGTAACATTTCCTGGAAATAGAACACGCAGATACAGTACAAAGCCATTTATCTGCATGTCTATTTATCTGCATAGGCTTTCGAAGTGAAAGTTGGACCACATGGCCTGAGAAATACCATTGTGCATAATTGCACTTGAGGTTGAACAAAGCGTTGGCCTTGGTTGAGCAATACAGTCTCATGTGTATGTGTGCACTTTGCATTAAACAAAAACAGTGTCTTTTTGGAAGTAGCGAGGGTAAGTTCTTTTAGTTTTACAAATTAGGGTTAGAGATAGAGATATTGTAGGCATTGAGAAAGAGAGATATAAAGTCAAAGAGACACTCATAGAGAGAGAGAGAGAGAGAGAGAGAAAGACATAAACACAGACGGAGAGGTAGAAAAAAGAGTCAGAGAGAAAGTGGCGGAGAGAGAAGAGCTAGCCCAGTGTGATACCATTGTGATAGCGTAATAATGGAACATTATTTTGGTTAGCATTGTAGCTAATTTGCACAGTGTCCAATTATCCACACTTTTTGCTAGTCCCAATTAATGCAGATAATCTGATTGAACCCAAACAGGGTTAATTACCCTCTCCATGGTTGAATAGTCCACTGATAATTGCTGTCCAGCCTCACTCATGATAAAAGACTACTTTGATGAAGCAATAAGGCTATACAAATGTAATCTTGTTGTTGTTGTTGTTACTTGTGACAATGCAACCTGTTCTGGCATTAGAGTCACTACCTTCAGTGGGCAAAGTGTTCATTCCTCTCTTCTGCTCCACCATTGGTGAATGAGAATTCAGCCACTATGCCCCTGCTCTCCGTACCAATCCCCCAAACTCTCTTTCCTACAATCCCGCAGCCTTCAGCACCCTCTTAAAAACATATGCAAAATATTTAAACAATTGCACAGCATTTCCACTGTTCTTCCTCTTCCTCAAATCAGGAATGCTTATGCAAACACTTTATTGTGGAAATGTTGTCCCTTTAAGGGGAGCATGGTGATTGTCAATGTGCTGAAGCATAGAGTGCTCCTAGTGGAGTTCTGTAGCTTAGTGGTTAGAGCACTTACCTCGCAAGCGAGAGTCCCTGGGTTCAGTTCCCGACAGGGCAAAACGTTAGACAGGTTTCTTACTCCACACGCCTCTGTTTATCTAGCAGTAAGTAGGAATCTGGTTGCTAGTCGATTGGCAGATCAATTTTCTGGGGGTAATAATTTGGGCTCCGGAATGAGCATGACGGAGGGATAAAGAAAGAGTTTTGGGGTGTCGTGGCTGACAGCATGGGCACCGATGGTGGAACAGAGGGCATGACAAGCTTTCAGTCACTGTGCTCCACCTTTAAAGCTTGCCTTACATGCTTTCTTTTCAACCTTCACCTTTGGTTGCCTTCTTCCCCTACCCTCAGTCATTCTTCAGCTCCCCCCCCATCTCCCACGTTTGGGCTCCCAGTCCACCCTGCGAAGCTTTGAGATATCCTACAACATGAAAGGTGCTGTGTCGATGCAAAATGGTGGTTGTTATTTTCCAGTTGAATGGATGTGGTTGAACTGAAGCATTGAGTTTCGATATATGGTTATTTCTTTCATTGAATGCTATCCTGATTCCATTTCAGGTGCACCGCGGGGTCAAAGGCTTTGTCCGGGATCACCAGGGCAACCCACTCTCTAATGCCTCCATTTCTGTGGAAGGCATAGATCATGACATCACATCTGGTACGTATAAAAGGATTAAGTACCCTCTGCTTGGAGGACAAAACTGTTCGGGATTTAAAAGGGGCTGTTGGGAATAATTTAAATCTAAAGCTTGCACCAAAGAGAACTGTTGGAATAAAATCAGCTTCCAAATTGACATGGAATTTAAGAGTTTTACGAAATGTTGCACAATATTCAATTTAAGGGCAATGGGCAAGGGCAGTCAGGTATCTGGGTCCAGAGATGTCGCATCTGAGCCTGAACGTCTCCTACTGAAAGTTCAAAATACCACAAGATTAAGTTGGTTGAAGAAGATGCTTTGGCCCATCTGGTCTCATCCCTCCAGGACATCCACTCTACCTTCCGCATCACGATATAAAGCTGTTTTTGAAATGAGTCAAGTATCCTGGCTTCCTCAATTACCTTTCTGGTTAACCTGTTTCAGTTGTTGATTACCTTCTAAGTAATGAAAGACTTCCTGGTATCTGTCCTGAAATTGGCCTTTCCTTTACAGCTCAAAATCCATGTCCTCTTGTTCTACTGTCTAGGTATACCTAAAGTATAGTTCTGTGTTTACATTTTCAATCCCATTTAATAATAATAAATAATAATAATCCCTGCATTTGATATAGCGCTTTTCACGTCTTCTGGACTTCTCAAAGCACTTCACAGAATATACTGTAAAGTGAATTGACTGTATATTTGTGGGCGAAACACAGGAGCCAATTGCGCACAGCGATGTCCCACGAACAGTCATGGATTGAAAATGGCCAATTTATTATTGTTTTTTTGTTTTGGAGGGATTATTATTAGGTGTGTGGAGTAAGGAAACTTGCCCAACGTTTCGCGCTGCCTAGAATTTAAAATGTTATGCACCTGTATTAGTTCTTCTCTGAGTTGTCTTCTCTCAAGACCTAGAGACTAGACTCCTACCTTGTCTGATAATCGCTCACAGCTCATTCATCTAACACTGGGGATCATCCTAACTGAACTCCTCTGCACTGCCTGTAGCAGCCTTTTCTAGAGCTGTATGCAGTAGTCTAGGTGTGACCTGAGAAGAGCACTATACAGCCTGAGTATGATGTCTATTTGGGCCCCGGGATGTCACACCTGAATCCAAACCTGTCCAAGCCTGAAAGGTCACATGGTGTTAAGGCTAAAACATGTGAATTTACAGGGGAGAAGCAGAGAATTTCCCAGTGCGAGGATGTAACAAACGTGAGCCCAGACTGGTATTCATTATAAACCGATGTATAATGACCACTTGGTGAGGTACTAGGCAGAGCTTGTAGCTCATGGAACCATACTGTAGCAGAAGGAAAAAGAAAGTCAAGACACTTTCAGAACTGGAGGATTCCATTACAGAACTGCCTCAACACATTTCAGTGGATAACTATTATAATAATCCTTGCAGTAGTAATTGTTGCAAACAATTTTATCTGGGGGATTGTCTGCCAGAATGCCGGGATAATAATAATAATAATCTTTGCATTTGATATAGCGCCTTATCACATCTTCGAGACGCCTCAAAGCGCTATACAAAATATATTATAAAGTGAATTGACTGTATTTTATGGGCGAAACGTGGCTGCGAATTGCACAGCAGTGTCCCACAAACAGCTGTGGATTGAGTGACCAAATGATTTTATTTATTTTGAAGGAATTATTACCCCCGGAAAAGCAATCCACCAATCGACTAACCACTTATTGCTAGGTAAATGGAGGTTTGTGGAGTAATGAAACTTGCCTGACATTTCGCCCGGCCTGGGAAATCGAATCCAGGTCCTGTCGCTTACGAGTGCTCTAACCATAAGCTACATAATCTCCCTTCTAGTTATCGAATAGTGCGGTGGGAACTTCAACATCCAACTGAACAGACAGATTAACTTTATTTCATGCATGCTCTCTGTAGAGAGCTTGTGTAAAACAACAACAATAAAATTATATTTGTGTAGCGCCATTCACGTCAGGAGGACGTCGCAAGGCGTTGGACAGTCAGATTTTTGGACCCGAGCTGGCGGTCAGGATTGGGGAGGGTGGCGGGCGGGGGTGGGGGGGGGAAGCAGGGTGATTGAAAGCATGGTCGAAGAGGAGGGTCTTGAGATGGGTCTTGAAGGAGTTAAGGGAGGGGGTGAGGCGGAAGGACTACGGGATAGAATTCCAGAGGGTGGTGGCAGAGTAGCAGAAGGACCGCCCGCCAATGGTGGGGCAGGCGAGGTGTGGGATGTGAAGGAGGCTGGAGCCCACTGAGCGGAGAGAGCAGGCAGGATAATAGGGGGTTAGGAGGTCAAACCTCGATATAATGAATGCATGTATGAGGGTTTTGGCAGCCTGTGGTGTGGGACAGTGGCAGCGCCGGGCGATGTTGCGGAGATGGGGGAAGGCATAGTGGGTTATGGCACAGATGTGGGGTAGAAAGCATAGTTGAGGGTCAAACAAGAGCCTAAGGTTCCGGACTGGCTTAGTAAGGTGGAATGTGAAGGCGCTGATGGGAGCCAGTCTGGAGAGCCTCGGTCTTGTTGACATTCAACTGCAGAAAGTTAGCTCTTATCCAGGACTTGATGTCTGACAGACATTGTGTCAGAACAGCAGTGGTCCTGGAGTCAAGGGTGGAGGTAGAGAGGTACAGTTGTGTGTCATCCGCATAAATGTGGAAGTTGACCCCATGTCTGTGGATAATGTCACCAAGAGGGGGCATATAGATATTGAAGAGCAGGGGACCAAGGACAGATCCCTGAGGAATGCCGCATGAGGCGGTGCGGGGACAAGAGGAGAACCCGTTTGTGGAGATGAAGTGGAGGTGGTGTGAGAGGTATGATCTGACCCAGTCAAGGACAGAGCCGTTGAGGTGAGAGGAGAGGCGGTGGATGAGGATAGAGTTATCAACTGTGCTGAAGGCAGCAGAGAGGTCAAGGAGGACGAGGAGGCAGAGGGAGCCTCAGAAACCCGATTGGAGGGGTTCATCAAGGGAGTGGCGGGAGAGGAAGGAGCGAAGCTGGGAAGCAATAACTCGTTCCAGGACCTTGGAGAGGAAAGGGAGGTTGGAGATGGGGCGGTAATTTGAGAATAATGATGGGTCCAGGGAGGGCTTTTTAAGGATAGGAGTGATGACGGCCATTTTTAATGGGGTGGAAACAGTACCAGAGGACAAGGAGAGGTTAATGATGTCTGTGAGTAGAGAGGCAAGGAGGTGGAGCTGGGAGGTAAGGAGAGGGTTAGGGATGGGGTTGAGGGAGCAGGTGGTTGATTTCATGCGGGTTATATTGGTGGTGAGAAAGGACAGGGAGACAGGTTCGAAGGTGTGGAGGGAGGGGTTGGTAAGGCCCGGGGTGGGAGGGAGAGATGGGCAGGGAGTAGTAGACGGAAAGCACTAATTCCTTCAACTTTGGATTCAAGGAAGTCCAGCATTGTCTCACAGTTGGCATTGGAGGTGAGGATGGGCGAGGCATGAGAGGGTGGGCGGAGGAGACGTTTGGTGATAGAGAAGAGGAACCTTGGGTTGTCCTTGTCCTCCAAGATTGTCTTGGAGTAGAACAATGATTTAGTGGACAAGGGCGGAGCATTAAGATTTGATAAGGTCCAGCCAGATCTGGCATCGACTGTTAAGTTCGATTTAAGCCAGATGCATTCAGCATCATGCATCTGTGCTTTAAGGGAGCGGAGGTGGCTGGTGTATCATGGTGACTTACGTGAGTAGGAGATGGTTTGGGAAGAGAGGGGAGCAAGGGAATCGAGTGGATGAGAGGGAGCTGTGGAGAAGAGTGACCGAGGAGGATAGGTCATTGTGGAAGGAAGCCCAGAGGGGAAGGAGTTCAGATGACTCCAATTCAGCTGAGAGGGGGGGAAGGTTTTTTCCAGGTGCGGGAAGAGATGGAGGTGGGTTGGGTGGCGGTGGGTAGGGGATTGAGGAGTTAAGGGAGATGAAGTGATGGACTGAGATTGGTTTGTTGATGATGGTGAGGTCTGAGATGGTGAGTCCCCGAGTGATCACCAGGTCAAAGGGGTGACCACGGAAGTGGGTGGTGGAGTGGATGTGGAGGGAGAGGTTGAGGAAAGAGATAAGTGAGGAGAAGTCAGAAGAGGTGGAGCAGGAGGGGGTGAAGAGAAGCTTGAAGTCGCCTAGGATGGGGAGGCGTTCGGACCAGAAGGAGAGGGAAGTAAGGAGGGTGGAGATGTCGGGGATGAAGGAGGGGAAGAGCTTGGGAGGGGGCGATAGATAAGGAGAATTTTGGGGGAGGAGTGATCAAGGGTAAGGTGCTCAAAGGAAGGGAAGATTTTGGGGAAAAAAAAGTCTTCAGGGTTAATGCCTGCAAAATCCCATTCAGAGTGAATAGAAAATCAAAGCTCTAAGGAGTTCTGAGGTTGATTGGATTTTCAGAGTAATTTCCAAACTTTCAGAAAGTCTCCCAACTCTGAGATTGACCTGATTTTCCTCTGCAGCTGTGAGTTTGAACTCTGTACAGAGGTGTCTGAGGCTGAAGAATAACATAAATAGCAAGTCTTTCTCGGTGACTGGATCTTTCAAATTTAACCCATTGAACAAAATGAATTCCAGGAGTGTTTTAAAAGGCTGTCTAAAGTTATAGTACCTGATGCTGTCATGAATTGAGCACCCTGGAGGAAGCAGGAGGATGGGGGTAATGCACAAGGATGGAAACAATTAATATAAAAAGTGTACACGACAGCAAACTTCAGCTCTAGCTGCCCCACCTCTTGCAGCTGTGCAGATGGGCAAAGGTTGGACAGACACGAGGAACACTGGAATCGTACAGAATGTTTGAAAAAAACAGGAGCTTTGGGGCTTGTAAATCCTTCCTCTCAAGCGATAGTCCAACCCATTTATATCCTCCTCCCTTCATGCTTTCCAAAAGCTAGTGGGCTCAGATTTTTCCAGGCTTAAGTAAATGGGGGGGAAAGGATGAAGTGTAGGACTTTTTTATGTACTGAAGAGGATCTGTAATTGGCTTTCTGTCCAGCATACAGAAGATGAAGAGGCACAAAACAAAGCATTGGGAGATCAGCAGTTGCCAAAGACTTTAAACATGATTTAAGTGGCTTAATAGGCTAGTTAAAAGAAGCAATCATGCCAAGGAGAATGGTTTGGAGGCCTTAACAGTGGAATTTGTTGCCATTGGAGGTTTGTAGTACATGTGCATTCCATATTTTCGCATGAAGTACTAGCAAAAAGCAGTTTTATCAGACTCAAGTACATACAGTTGTCTGACATTTATATCTAGTCTCTGGGCTCTGCTCAATGGCATTAGATGATATGTGAACCTGAAGTCCAAACAGTTTTATTATAAGATCAGAAGCATATGAATAATTCAAAAAGGTTTATAATCAATAGTGCAGAATTTGAAAATCTGTCATGTGGACCTATGGCTACACTATCAAAGAGTGAAATGCAGTTTTACAGTGAAAACATTAAAGCTTAAAGTCACATAAAATCACAGGCTCAGGTAACCAGCCTTCGCAACCAAACAGGCAGTCATAAGCCACGTTTGATTTAATTTAGTCCTTGAATCTTTCGTTCAGTCTTTTAAGCTGTCCCTTTGAACAGGGTCTTCATTTTAGAAGCAGCTGTTAGTTCTAGTCTAGTCACAGTTCGCTCACTTACAGACAGAGCCTTTTATCATATTTGAGATTCACTGTCACCAATCACATGTACCTACATGCACTTTCCAGGCTGCTGTGAAACTTGCTACACTCCTTGCTCTCTCCCATACCCTTCTATTCTCTTCTCCCTCGTGTGAATGGGGCAGAGAGAAACAAATAGTCTTGCAAATTATTTTTGCCCACAAAAATACAATCAATTCACTTTACTGTATATTCTGTAAAGTGCTTTGAGATGTTTAGAAGATATGATAAGGTGCTATATCAAATGGAAGGATTATTTTTAATGTTAGGTTTGGGTGAAACCATCTGAAACAAAATGAGGGGTGGGGGGGAGATGTATCAATTGGAACTGCAAAATGTGGTGTGTGATATAATATACTATGAATTGATTGTATATTTTGTGGGCGAAAATAATTTGGCAGACTATTTGTTCCCCTCCCCCTCATACACATGAGAGAGAAGGAAATAGAGGGTATAGGCGAGAGGTGTATAGGTGGAGACTCGTGTGGGAGTATAAACACTGGCGCAGACTGGTTGAGCTGAATCACTGTACAATCTATGCAAATCTATGCAACTTCTTGATTTTGAGTTTTGTCCACAAAATACACAGTCAAGTCACTTTACAGTATATTCTGTGAAGCGCTTTGAGAAGTCTCAATGATTGATAAGACGCTATATGAAATGCAAGGATTATTATTAAGCCAGTGTTTTTGGGACAAGCACTTAAATGCTGGGTGTCATACAGCGACAGGATAAAAAGCTCTGTCCGCTGGCCCAATATCTGGACCAAATCTTTTCTGGGTGAAACTACTTAAAGGTAATGTGTGTGGGGGGGCTTCCCACAGTAGTTCCTCAGAGCAGTTCTCAGCTGGTCCATCTCCAGGAGTGGAATGCCTCGCAATATAATCATTTTCACCAGTGATAATTATCATATCACTCACCACATTTTTTTTGTGCCCCTATTTTTCAAACCTGTTTTCACCCAATAAAATGTACATCTTCATAAAATAATTTCCAAATGATTAAATCCAACTAAAAGATGGCAGAACAGGGAAGTGTACCTTATAATGATCCCTGCATTCAACACTTACACCAGGGCTCTATCACCATTTGTCAGTAACTTCCTTAAATGCTCTCAACTACAACAATTTCTGACAAACACGCAAATATCCCCATGTTATTAATGTCTTGTTCTTACACTGCTTCTGACACAGCAGTCTTTCTGTTGCAGCTGGCAATCTGATTAGTGTATTGCTCCATGAGAAGGGAAAATGAAGTGTGTGTGTGTGTACACGGTTGTTTTAGATGAGATATAGAGGGTCAGATTGCTTTGGGTGAGAGATAAAAGTCAGACTGTTCTGAGTGAGAGATGGAGAGTTAGGTTGGTTCGTTGTGAGAGACTGAGTCAGGCTTGTTTTTTGAGCCAAAAGGTCAGACTGGTTTTGAGTGAGAGACTAAGAGTCAGACTGGTTTGGGTGAGAGACTAAGAGTCAGTCTAGTTTGGGTGAGAGACTAATGGTGAAGCTAGTTTTGGATATGAGACAAAAGGTTAGGCTGGTTTTGAGTGAGAGACTGAGGGTCAGGACATTTTCTCTGGAATCAGTAATTTGCAACACTATTTAGTCACATTTGTGAACATGCCAACATGATGTCACCCGGGGGTGTCAGCCTCACATCTGTGTGTGGTATTTGCGGCTCACTTGGAATTTCTCAGTTACTTGCCTGCTGAAAGCTGCGAGGTTAAAGATGTTGTGGGGTTGGGGGTAAAGGGTCTGGGCGCACTCAGTAATCAGGTTTCAAATATTAATCAGAGTGAGTAACTCAATGCTCTCCACTAATTGAATCTGTTGCTTCAAGGTATTTTCTTGTCATTTTTGTAAAGAACGAAAAGAAAACTCACAACAGCTGCACGGGACCAAATGGATCTGGTTTTGTGTCTGGTTCTGAGGGAAGCAAAGCGGTTAGATTTCTCACGACTGACGCTGTTTGGCACTTGCTGTCATATCTGGCTTTAAATGGAATGTTGAGGTTATCACCAAAGTTGTTCTTAAGCATTGTAGAAAAACGACTTGAAAATTAAGATTGTAGTGAAGAATTTTGCATAGTTCTGCACAATGTTAACTTTTAAGACAAAATTATCTCACAGGCTGAGGTTAAGTGGAATATCAGAGCAATAATTGGTAAATTAGGATGTTACGAGATGTGTGGAAAAAGTAGGGAATGGAATTGAAGAATTGTCATAGATTTAGGAGTGCAGGGTCACTGTGTGGAATTGCCCACTCCTGTTCCATGTTGCTAAACAGTGATTCAGTTGGTGCAGTGCATATAAGACCCTGAAGGGCATAACTTCAAGCCCTGCCCTGACTCTTTGTTGGGATGCAGGTGGCCCTACTACAATTTGCCATAGCACTTTGATCTAAGGAAGGGGAAAAGCAGCCATTATCCAGCGATCCCTGCTGGCAAGTGGATGTCACTGAGAACAGGATTAGACTCTGTAATGATGCCTCCCCTAGGTATAGTCCATTGATGCCCATTGTCCAGACTCATATATGATGAAAGTCAGCAAAGTGCAGAAGGACAACCAGCTTGACTCAGTGCCTTCAGGAGAGAAAATTGGAGAGAATATCTCTTTAAGAAGTATAGAGTTAGAAACGGAGAAAATCAAATATCCTGTTACTTTTATTCTGAATTATCATGAAATGATTTAATAATAATCCTTGCATTTTGATATAGTACCTATAGCACTTCACAGGGAATTTCTGTAAAGTGAAGTGTAAGCCAACGCAGCAGCCAGTTTACACACATCAATGACTCACAAACTGCATGACCAATTTTATCTAGAGGATTGTTAGCCAGGAAACCCACCTCTCGTCTGCAAATAGTGTTACTGGATCTCTAATGTCCACTTGAACAAGTAGGCGGGGCATTGGTCTTACCCGACAAATGGACTTAGTTCATAAGTGAAACTTGGAAGGAAAATAGTCATTTAGCATTTTGGTCATTAGTTGTGTCTTTGCAGCTAAAATTCCCACTTCTAGTATTTCCCGTGATTGTGTAACTGATTGTCCACTTGGAAAGCCTCCTCTACTCACTGATAATACTTATGTCTAATTCTGATACACGTGCATCCATGGGGGAAATATAAATGCCCCCCAACACTATAGTGAACCTTGCATGCCTATTGTCCATTAAACTGTACTTAACATGTTTTTTCTTCCTCTTTAGCAAAGGACGGTGATTACTGGAGATTGTTGGCCCCCGGAAACTATAAAATCACAGCTTCTGCCCCAGGCTTCCTAGCAATAACCAAAAAAGTGGCTGTTCCTTTTAGCCCTGTTGTGGTGGTAAGATGCTCTTAACTTATATATAAAAAAAACAATGATGGTGTCTAACTCGCTTTCACTGATTGACCGTTTATAATGGTATATACCATTTGTAGGCGCAGAACCAAAGGTTCCCACATGTTACGAAACAGTGGGGTAGAAATTCTATCTGGTTCTAGATTTACTCTGTTAACATTGATAAAAGTCGAATAGAATATTTGAATAGTTAATATTGTTGAATTCAGTCTTAACTTTGAAATCCGGTTATTGTAATTCTTATCGCTTCAAAATTAAAGTTGTTGGGAAAATGGCACAGTGTGACTTTAGGAGTTTTGCCCCAACCCCTGCTTTTTTTTATCTGTGGAATCATCGAACCCAGGGGATGGGGATGAAAGTTTCTGTTTGCGGTGGGCAGTGGATTGAAAAAAGCAACTGGGTGACACAAATAATTGAAGGGCCTCAGTCATGAACACTCAGCATCCAAGGCTGCACTCTAAACCACTCAAAGCCAGTCAGGAACCTCGGGGTTCTGTTTGACCCTGAGCTGTCCTTTCTCCCTCATATCCGCGCCACAACTGGCACCGCACAACTGCTGTATATGGAATTGTAGTTTCAAATTTTTTAAAAACATTTTTTGGTCTAACAACTGGCACCGCCTTCCATCACCTCCGGAATGTCGTCAGACTACGGCACTACCTCACCCCTCACGCTGCTGAAACTCTGGTCCACGCCTTTATCATCTCAAGGCTGGACTATGGGAACTCTCTCCTCGTCGGCCTTCTCGGCACCTCCCTCCACAAGCTGCAGGTCATTCAGAACTCTGCAGCTCGTGTACTGTCCCACACCAGGCTTCGGGACCACATCACTCCCACCCTCGCTCGCCTCCCCTGGCTCCCCATCCCCCAGAGGATCGAATTCAAGATCCTCATCCTCACCTACAAGGCCATTCGCGGCCCTGTTCCCTCCTACCTCTCCGACCTACTATCCCTCTACCTACCTGCCCGTACCCTCCATTCCTCTGGCTCCGGTCTGCTCCACATCCCCCGCCCCAACCGCCCTACCATCGGTGGCCGGGCCTTCAGCCTCTCAGCCCCGAGGCTCTGGAACTCTATCCCCCAGTTCCTTCGCCGCCTCCTCCCTTTCCTCCTTCAAGGCCGGTCTCAAGACCTTTCTCTTTGACCATGCCTTCAGCTCCCCTCTCGACTCTCTACCTCCTCCTTGCTCCCTCCCTTCCCTCCCCTCACCCTGACCATTTCCCCCCTGCTCGGGTCCTGACCCAACTGTACAGCGCCTTGGGACGTCCTCCCGACGTGAAAGGCGCTCAATAAATGGAATCTTGTTGTTGTTGTTGTTGGCACATTCTTTCACAAAGAACGAGATTGACAAAGTTATGCTCGTGTACAGCCATGGTGTAAAAGTCAGATGATAGAAGGGGGTTTATTCCTCCGCCCAGTCTTAAAGAATGTGGGTAACACATTATCTGCCGTTACAGTAAGAAACCTATGCTCAAACATCATTGATTCATGTTTTTCTTTCTTCTCCCTCACCCCCTCCCTCACCCCTCGTCCACATCAAGGTCAACTTTGCTCTGGAGTCTTTTGCCGAAAGAAAAGAAGAGGAGAAGGAAGAAATGTTGCAGTGGTGGAAGATGATGTCGCAAACGCTGAACTTCTAAAGAAAAGGAATTTGTTCCTTTTCAGTCGTGTGCTTCGTAGGAGACGTGTGGCATCTCAAATTTTTTAGTCATTTAATTATTTATGTTTCCCTGTTTCCATGTGTTTGAATATGACTTGAATCCAGGGATTTAGGAGGTGATGGTGACATGTGAGGTGAACAATGTGATGTCCCTCCAGTTAAAATCATGCCGTTGTTCAGCTGGTCTGTAGGTTGCCATTCAGTAGGGATTCCAGGTTGACTGATAGAATCAAATATCAATTCACACTAGCCCCTTCATGTGTTCTCTGCAGTTGCTTTGTTACCATTGCCCCATGTTTCTACCTTTATATTTTTTATTTTAAGTGATGTTTTCTAACCTAAAAATATCATGGTGTTTTCCTTCCTTCCCTCCCAACACCCCTCCACCTTAATAAGTGGTGGGATGTACATGATAAGTGAAGTGTGCATGGCCTTCTCTTGTTTATGTAGATTATCTTTGAAAATATTCTAAGTTTATTTGTAGTGACAAAGCAGGGTGATTCTCACCCTTGATGTGATTTGAAAATTTGCTGATCATTCTTGAGCATTCCAACTATTCAGCTAAGTCCAGAAGGCATTGGTATCAAACCAAAGGGCTCTTTGGGTTTCAAATTAAAAAAAATATATCCTTATTAGAAGTTTGGTTTAAATGTATCAAAAGTATCACTGTAAGAGGCCATCAGAAGTTTTACATTAAGTTCAAACTGAACCCACATTGAAGTAGGTTATTATCAATTATTTTACAATTGAGCTGATCAGAGTGATTTTTTTAATACCCAAGATTTCTGAGTGCGAGAACCCTTTTTATCACATCAGTACCAAGTTATATGATGCACATTTCTACACTGGGATACATGGTATGAAAGGAAAGAAAAAGCACGATAACCATCTCCGGCCTGACACAGTAACCCTGCAGTGATTTCTGATTTAGTTCGCTATACCAAGTGGAGACAGAATACCCAAACATGTTTCACAAATTCTCTAGCAAGAAGTAGCTGTAGAAATTGACAGTCCGTTGTTGCTGTGATAACATGGTATCACTATAAGAGGGAGGATCTTAGTAAAAATGAAAGGCTGAATACCTACAAGTGGGATCTTAACCTGAAGTTTACATCCATATCCGCAAACAATCTCCAGAGTGAAAGATGTAATAATTCATAACACATTTAATGTGATCATCAGGACATTGAATCCATTAGCAAAACGTTGCATTTTTCACCCCTTCTGTGTCATATGTACAGCTTCAGTTGCATGGAAAGGTTTTAAACCAGGGTCAAACATGGATACATTTGGATGTTTAAAAACCACAGCATCTGCACTCCCATTTACTACAAGTAAGCGAAAACTACTGAAAGAACATATATCATAAATTGACTGAATGTAAAAGTGTTAAAAGTCTGCACATCGACACTACAACACTATTGCCATGTTCTCTAAAGTACATTTTATAATGAACTGAATAGAAATAACAATGCCACAAAACCTGATCCACGGGCTTTTGGCTGTGGTCCACTTAAATCTGTGTGTTGTCACAATATCCTCGAATTGTCCAATGTCAACTCATAACTTCAAAGAATTGTGATGTGAAGCCATTACACAGAATCATCTTACTGTATTATACAATGAAGAGATGTAGTACAATATATTGTTTCTGGACACTATCTTGTTCTGTTACCTCAGAAATAGCTGAGAAAACAAATCGGCATATGTTCACGTCCTTATAGCACAAAATATACTGAGCTGTCACTGTTGTGTTTTGCTATTTCTTGTGTTTGTGATAAAGATAAAATGTTACCCTGTAGCCCTTGTCAATTTGGTTATTTCTTCAAGTGCCGTTCATGTGCGATTACCGTGTTGATCAGCGCTTTGAGATGTCCTCTAATTTGTTGTTGATCATATCAGTAAATACCACAAGCAAGAACATTCAGGTTTTGTGCACAATACAGAACTACCCTTCCCAGTTACAGTCATTTCACTAAAGAAAACTGCCTGACAGAGAAGTGAGCATATCACCTGATCTGGAACAGTTCTGTGTGTCAATTCTGCTTTTACTTTTGTTCAAAGTTTAGTTGTTCCACATGACGGCAGCAATTACTGTAAATTGCCATGTTCCATTTGTGTGTAGATGCGTTCCTCAACATGAGAGTCTGGACTGCAAGTGGAATTCTCTACAATTGTACCTTGTGTACCACAAGTGCTGTTGCATCAAGGTTAGGGGCAATGTTTTACACAGAGGGCTGTAAAGACAGGTTGCTCTACCTAGACGTGTGACTGAGGCAACAACAACAACAACAAGATTCCATTTATAAAGCGCCTTTCACGTCAGGAGGACGTCCCAAGGCGCTGGCAGAATCCTTATTAACTTTTAATAATAATAATAATTGTTGCATTTGATATAATGCTTTTCACGTGAACAACAACAAAATTACATTTATAGAGCACCTTTCACGTCGGGAGGACGTACCAAAGCGTCTTCTAGACATCTCAAAGCGCTTCACAGAATATACGGTAAAGTGAATTGTATATTTGTGGGTGAAACACAACAGCCAATTGCACACAGCAGTGTCCCACAAACAGTCGTGGAATGAGTGACCAAATTTTTTTTTAGGGATTATTGCTCACGGAAAAGCGATCTGCCAATCGACTAACAACTGGGTTCCTACTTACTGCTAGGTAAACAGGTCTGTGGAGTAAAGAAACTTGACCAACATTTTGCCCTACTGGGAATAGAACTCAGATCTCTCACTTGCGAGGCGAGTTCTGAGCTACAGGACTCCATTTATTGAATTTTAGAGAGTATTAGATACATATCTGAAAAGGAGAAATATGAAAGAATCTGGTAAAAAAGGCAGGAACGTTGGACCAAATAGGTAGCTTTTTCAGGGAGCCAGCACAGAAACACTCAGCCAAATGGCCTCCTATGCTGTAAAGTTCTTTGGTTCTATGGCAGATCTACAAAGAAGGATTGATCAACCTGTGGTTAGCCCAACCTGGTTATTAAAAATTTAGGCTGAGAGGGGATCTTATAAAGGTGTTTAAAATGATGAGGATTTGGAACATTTGATTACCAATAGGTTTTTCTGCTGTATATGGAATTGTAGTTTCAAATTTTTTAAAAACATTTTTTGGTCTAACAACTGGCACCGCCTTCCATCACCTCCGGAATGTCGCCAGACTACGGCACTACCTCACCCCTCACGCTGCTGAAACTCTGGTCCACGCCTTTATCACCTCAAAGCTGGACTATGGGAACTCTCTCCTCGCCGGCCTTCCCGGCACCTCCCTCCACAAGCTGCAGGTCATTCAGAACTCTGCAGCTCGTGTACTGTCCCGCACCAGGCTTCGGGACCACATCACTCCCACCCTCGCTCGCCTCCACTGGCTCCCCATCCCCCAGAGGATCGAATTCAAGATCCTCACCCTCACCTACAAGGCCATTCTCGGCCTTGCTCCCTCCTACCTCTCTGACCTACTATCCCCCTACTTACCTGCCCGTATCCTCCGTTCCTCTGGCTCCGGTCTGCTCCACATCCCCCGCCCCAACCGCCCTACTATCAGTGGCCGGGCCTTCAGCCTCTCAGCCCCGAGGCTCTGGAACTCTATCCCCCAGTGCCTTCGCCGCCTCCTCCCTTTCCTCCTTCAAGGCCAGTCTCAAGACCTTTCTCTTTGACCATGCCTTCAGCTCCCCTCTCGACTGTCTACCCCCTCCTCGCTCCCTCCCTTCCCTCCCCTCACCCTGACCATTTCCCCCTGCTTGGGTCCTGACCCAACTGTACAGCACCTTGGGACGTCCTCCCGACGTGAAAGGCGCTCAATAAATGGAATCTTGTTGTTGTTGTTGTTGTTGTTGGTCAGCTGGATGTCTGACATATGGGGAAACCTATCCCCCATCACTATTAAGAGTATCCAAACCAAACTGAGATTTCCATGCATTCCATCTACACATGGAAATCCCAGAGATAGATTGTTGGAATGGAATGCGTTCTCTCTCCCTGGAGGGACACATCCTGCTTACCTAATTCTGGAGAGATTTGGCATAGGTTGGCAAAAGCCAAGGCTTGGAGACCCCAAAGAGTGCTTTGGGGTATTGCTCTAGTCTAACCAGATAAAACCACATAACTTGCCATTGATAACATTGTCTGCAAGCTTTCCTGCTGCTTGTCCAGCTAGGACCACGATCCCCTTTAGGACTTTGGCTTGCAGGGTTAAGAGGAGTTGAGTGAGCAGATTCTCTATCCCCAGTGACTGGTCCTTCAAAATTAGAACAAAAGTAACTAAGAAGTGCTGAAGAAAGGGGAACAGGCAACGTGGATCAAATTAACCAGCACAACTGGTGAAACGAGGTGGTACAAAAGGTTTCCTGGATTCATATCTTCAGCAGAAGATTAAACCATGGTTCGGGATGTAAATAAATGATATGTGAGTAGATTTTAGTGTACTGCTTAAGGGAGTTTTATTAGCTTAACTTTCGGGAATGCAGGTACGAGTAGACAATGGACAACATCTAAAAGAGTTATTCTCCACACAGCACATTAGTTTATGACTGCAAGCCTGCTCTGTTTGGGTAAGATTTATGATTTTGTTTCCTTGTGCTTAGAAGTTACTTTAATGCAATTTTAATTGTATAATTTAATATTGCATTTATAACTTAATGTGGTTTCTAAATTAAAATGGTATTATAGTCATTCAAAAATGAGGGGGACAAATGTGCGAAACTTACTGAAAGTTGAATAGTATTTATCTGACAGCAATCAATTCATTGCATGTAACAAGTTTAGCAAAATAACCCAGTGGTTGGATTATGTTATACAGGAGTGAAAAATGCACTGTTTCATACAAAAATCAATATAATAATTGATATTTTTTCACAAAATAACATGATGCTGGCCTTCATATCATTTTAAACCACACTACATATGATTGCATTTGATTTACACTGTGATATTTATATACATTAAACAACATTATAATAAAAACCAAGCACAGTCCGAGGAATCAATGATGTGTTTCTCAGTGTTAACATTTATTGACACTGCTGAGTTCGATTTTTTTACCATCCCAAGGTTATCATTTTTTTCTCTGTGAAACATCTCTGTATATTTTTGGGGCTAAAATTTTGCTCAGTCCCAGCTGTTTTACTGCACAAAAGATGCTTGCATTTTGGTCGTCAATTTGAGATTGTTCTTTTTTCTATTGATGAATTGTTGGGCCCATGGATTTAATCATTTATCTGGGAGAATCATTCCTCTATCTTGGTGTTCAAGTATACAGGCAATCAGGCTGTTTTCTCACTCAGTGGCACAAATATGTTCCTTGGGCAGCAACAATGGCAAAGGTCGGAGGCTTGGGGTAAAATGGTGCCACAGTCAAGTTGCGGGAGGGTGTGGGGTAGGGGTGAGGGGGTTGCAGTCCAAAACAGTTGACATTTAAAGACTGTTATAAACCACAATTTCTCATCTCATATGTGGAAAGCAAGACAGTAATCATTAACTGATGGTACAATACAACCAAAAGTGCCTCCAGTATGCCATCTTAGCACCTTCCCTTTCCGTTTTAAAGATAGCATTACAATTTGCATTAAATGAATAGACTTTTATCTCCACCGAGATCCTTGTCAGATTGTTGTCTCTCCACAGATTCTAGCTCATTTGCTGAGTCAATATGAGGTTCATTTCCCTCAGGAATTAAATCTAGCAACTGGGAATCCACGTATGAAGCAACACCGGAGTCCTTGGAAGAGGATTCCTTCAGATTCTTAAACTCAGTATCATAGTTCTCATGGCTCGGAAAGGTCACTGGCCTGGACACTGGACACTTGCTATCCTGATGCACATCATGTGACAGCTTGAAAGCAGAAGAACTCATTTCACTCAAGCAGCGTTTCAGAGGTTCGTGATGGGAGGCCGTGGTTGACGGAGGCAGTGGCAAACCCTGGCACCCTACAGATAGGGAGGAACATGAGCAGGGTCGGGGGACGTCATAAATCGCATAAATGCTTGAGTTGGAAGCATAATGATCCACAGAACTTTGCTTTGGGTTACCAAAGTCTTCTGCTGTTGCTCCATGGTCTCTCGGTTCAGTTTTGCAATGTTGTACACGTTTCTGGTTAGGGCGGATAATGACAGAACTAATGTTCTCAGCAAGATTGTAAGCTCTAACTTCTGATGGGTCCTGAAGGCCATTTGCCTGTGAATTGACTCTCAGTCTCTGTGCTCCAATGTCATGACTCCCATCTTTCTTTTCCACTCGATGCACTGTGCTCCGTGAACTACTCCTGGTAGCATTTCCGTAAGACGGAGGTGAGGGATATTTGGGGGTTTTCTCCATAGCCTGACTATTTTTGAGTACATCAGCAGGAGAAGCCTTCCTGAACTTCACATCAACACTGGTTTCATTGTAAAACTCGAAGGAGGTGGCTCGAACTGTCCCAGTGGGAATTTTAAGAGAGGAACGCCTGCTTGACCTTTCATTACATACATTGTTAATCTCCTCTGCTCCACGGCTGCTGTTTCCTTTCACATCAACATTGGTACCAGATGAGCACTTTTGATCCTTTTGCACCTGTACGAAATGGCCCAGATTGCTGTCTATCTGTGCGTAGGTCCCGTCATCCTTTTCTAACAATATTTTTCTGATCTGAAACAAACCAAATTAAATAGAGTTTTCTGCACAACACTCAAAAACGTGGCTCAATCTGTCAAAGTGCAGCTAAAGGCTCTTCTCAATAATAATAGTAATCCTTGCTTTTGATATAGCTCCTTATCACGTTGAGACTTCTCAACTGAATTGACTGTATCTTTTCTGGGCAAAACGCGATAGCCAATTGTGCACAGCAGTGTCCCACAAACAGTCACGAATTGAATCACTAAATTATTATCTTTATTTCTTAAAAAAAATGTTGACGGGATTATTACCAACGGAAAGCGATCCGCCAATCGACTAATAACCAGGTTCCTGCTGGGTAAACAGAGATGTGTGGAGTAAGGAAATTTGCCTAAGGTTTCACCCTGCCTGAGAGAGTTGACTTGTAAAAGAACATCAATGGTCGAATTTATAACGAAATGACCTCGATAGCTTTCTTAAATATTTTTCTTCTGAAGTCACTGGCTCATAGTAGGGTTCCTGTAGTATTTCTCACAATAGTGGAAATAATGTTGTGCAGATGTGCAAGATAGAGCCCTTTCACCTGCTTGTACCCTGAATGTCCTTCTCCTGCAGAGGAATAACCCAAGCTTTCTTTTTTGATTTTCTAAAGATTTTAGTCTCCTTGCCTGTTTTGTTTGGACACATGTAATAACTAACAATGAAGAATACCTGGTTGAGTTTGAAGTAGATGAGAGCAACTCCGCAAATTGCTGCAACACAGACGAGCAACACTACTATCAGAAGGACAAGAACAGCCACTAAATAAGTCTGAAGAGTATGTGAATCAGCTTCTCCTTCATCGCCAGTGCTTGGTTGCGCGCTCACTGGTACCTAGCAGAAGGAAATAGACAAACCTGGTCTTAATTCAGAGGAAGCATGTCAACTGCAGCTTGAAACAAAAATATAATGCAATATATAATATGAAAGTCTACAAACACTTGGCTGCCTGGAAACACAAGGCTTTTGTGAAGGCTGAATTAACTGCAAGTCTGCATTAAACATGGCAATGACTCTGAGTTGTCACAGTCACACTGAACAGTGAGGAGTGTTGGTGAATTCAATCATTACAAACTGACGTTTACTTTGGTTTAAATAACAACATGTGATCTAACTTATGATATTCACAAAGTGGCTAATTGTGATTTCTGAAAGCTGACAATATAGAAAGACAGAGTGTGGAAACAAATACCAGAGAGTGACATACCTTCTCCTCTTGTACACTCCCCAGACGATTTTTTAAACTTTTTATATTTTTTATACTTTGATGTGTTTTCGTAATTACAATTATCTGTTGTGAACTCTCTCTCCACAAGGATCCACCCTGTTCATCTAATCCCAGAAAGTAGTAAGACCAGTTAGCTTCCTACCCCTGTGAATTAAACTTTTTGACACTATTATTGGCCTTTCTATTTAAAATAGTGTGCATGTAAACAACTTTCTAAGTATCAGAATATGTTCTTTGGTATAATATTTGTAAATGTGCCTTCCTTTGGCTTTCTAAAGATGAAAGCTAGAAAGTGGAGCAGCTAAATTTGAGGAACTGATGCATCTATTCAGAACATTCATGGAGTAAGACAAAACTAGTGTTCCCCAAAGATACAGCTGGTTAAGTCGCTGTCTGGAGTGAAACTCAACCATATTGACCTGATAGATCCAAGGTTGGACCTATGATCTGTGCTTATCGGAAAGGTGTCTCAAAATGCTTTATAGTGTGGATGGGCACCTGAACTACGGGTGGGAGCCGAGGGGTGGGGAGGGGGAAGATGACCGAAAGTGCATAAACCAAAATGAACCTCTCAGAAAATGGGGTCATGAGCCAGGTACACCTGTAGTTCATACAACAACAACAAGATTTCATTTATAGAGCGCCTTTCACGTCAGGAAGACGTCCCAGGGCACTGGACAGTTGGGTCGGGACCCGAGCAAGGGGGAAATGGTCAGGGTGAGGGGAGGGAAGGAAGGGAGCGAGGAGTGGGTAGAGAGTCGAGAGGGAAGTTGAAGGCACGGTCAAAGAGAAAGGTCTTGAGACCGGCCTTGAAGGAGGAAAGGGAGGAGGCGGCGAAGGCACTGTAGGATGGAGTTCCAGAGCCTCGGGGCTGAGAGGCTGAAAGCCCGACCACCGATGGTAGGGTGGTTAGGGCGGGGGATATTGAGCAGACCGGAGCCAGAGGAACGGAGGGTACAGGCAGGTAAGTAGGGGAATAGTAGGTCGGAGAGGTCGGAGGGAGCAAGGCCGTGAATGGCCTTGTAGGTGAGGATGAGGATCTTAAATTCGATCCTCTGGGGGATGGGGCCTTTGTAAAATAATCCTTCATAAAGTTTTAATCAGAGTGTAGGAACCCACATTAGCACAAACTAACGTCTCTGAAAGAAGTGGGTCTCTGGTGAGTTCATTCATGAATCACTGGCAAGAAGCCCAACATCCTTTATGATTGAAATGGGTATACACATTTTTATACACATTTTTCTGCATTATTTTTATGTTGCCATGTTACCATATTCAAGTTATTGAGACCCAGGTTGAGATTCCCTGCTGCCCTGCCATCACTAGGAAGGTCAAAGATTCATTGTGTACATGGTGTCTCCTCGCTAAAATGTAACTGTGTTAGATTCAGAAGAGCAGCAAGTTCAAAAGTTTTCCAAGTGTTAACTTCTGAGCCTTTCAAAGTGACACTGGAACATCTGGAAGGAGAGGCTGGGCTAACAAGCCACCTAATTGGCTGATCTCTCCTGAGATTTTGAGGTTATGCAGAAAGAAAAGAAAGAACTGGTATTTTTATAGCATCCGTAACAACAAAATCCTTTCCAAGCCATTAATCTCACTGTATTTGTAGGCAAATGCAACAACCATTTTGCAAATGGCAAAGTCTCGCAAACAGCATTGAGATGAATGACCAATTTATCTGGAGGATTGTTGGCCAGGACATCAGGAAAACTCCCTCCTCTTTTTGAATAGTGCCATAACATTGACCTGATTAATATGCAGATAGGACCTTAGTTTAATATCTCTAGCAATGCAATGATGGTGCTCTGCCGTGTCGGCCTGGATTATGAGTCTCAGTTCCCAATGTTGGGCTTAAACATTTTGACCCAGAGGCAAGCTTGTTACAAATTGAAGCAAGCTGACAATTAATGTATGACTGAAGGCTTGTGTGGCTCAGAATAGTGGGAGCACTGAAGCTCTGAAGCTACCTGGAATTTGGGGCTGGCAAATAATGTTAAATAATTTTCTCGGGTAATGCACTTTTCCTGTAACACAAAACATTTAAACATTTTTTTTGTCACTTATGACTATTAATAGATTTAATAAGTAGCCATTTCACTGAGTTACTTATTCTCAGTTGGGATTGGGATGTAGGAATGCTATAATTTGCTTCAGTGCCTCTGATCTTAGAAGTGAAAGATAAACCAGGGTTCTTACTCCTGATTGCCAGCCATTGGCCCTTGCCAGAACATGTGTAAAAGGGGACATTGGCTGTGATTTTATTGACTTTACCTCCATGTTCGAATAACCTGCTTCCAACCACTGCGTAGACTCAAACAGGAAGAATCTGTTTGATTACTCTGGGAGAGGGATCCATTGCAAGGGGAACACATTGTCAATATTAAAACAGGTAAGAGAGTTAGAACTGAAGTCAGGAAGTGTTTCTTCACACAGAAGGTTATGTATATGTCAAAAACTCTGCCCCAGAAAGCCGTAGAGGTATAATAAATAGGGATATTTAAAAGAGGGATAGGCAGATACTTGGCTAGGAGAGAGATGATGAGAGGACAGGGATTAAAGGATCTGTTAAGACCTAATAAACTGCAACTGGCTTAATGGGTGAGGTACTTGAGAGCTGACAGTCATGAAACTAAAACACAAGGTTAAAAAAGGAGCAGAAACAAATACATTTGCTTTATGTTGGGAAAACGAACAGAACTTAACTGAACAAAGAGTCAGATTTGTAATAAAAGTGTGAAAGCTCTGAAGATACAGTTTTAGATAAGTAAAACACAGAAAAATCAGAACAAAGCTATCGGGTAGAATATTCTACAGCCCTCCCCTGATTCATAGTCAAATGTCCTATGAATTCCATCTTGTCTATTATCTACTGCCCACATGTCAAGTATCTAGGAAGCTGGCAATAGCCAGATACAGGAAGGCATCTTTCATGGGTTAAAGTTCACACAACAGACTTGCCACAACACCACAGCAGTCATCACCTTCACAACCATTGTTAAAAGATACGTTTCCCCTCCTTACCCTTACCCGCATCCTCCCCCACCACCACCACCACCACCACTACCCTGCCCACGCTTTTCCATCGAGATGTGATGAATGACACTTCGACATATTATGGAAACAAGAGATCAAAAGGACGTCAAGCCCTTTTTATCTGTATTTCTGCAAAAACCTCTTTAGTACAGAGTACAACCTTTTTTTCTAACAGTTAAACTCAAAAATAGAGAAGGGCGTTTCTCCTGGTGTTCTGGCCAACAATCCTTCAAATAAAATTGGTTATTCATTTCATGGCTGGCTCTGGGACATTGCTGTCTGCAAATTGGCTCCTATGTTTGCCCACAAAACACACAGTATATTCTGTGAAGCGCTTTGAGATGTTCTCTTGATGTGAAAAGAGCTATAGCGAATGTAAGGATCATTATTATTATAACAGTTGCTCATTTTTGCCATGAGTCTGATCTTGGCCTACTACCCTATGAATCTGCCAAAAGGTTTAGGCCCAGACTGTTACATTGGGGAATAGTTCTGTTCAAATTCGCAACAGACGTTTTCAATTTTGTTACTAACAGCTAACCAAAATGTAAAGCATAGCAACGCAACAATGTTTGTACACCTCTCTGCACCAATGCACCTCAGGCTGCCCCTGTGAAAGCTACTCCCTATCATGCAGGCAAGGAAAAATTTAAAAGCACCCATTTATAATAATATCAGAGTGGCTATCAAAGAGATATAAAAACTGCTAAATATGAAAAAATTAACCCCGAATCTTAGTTTCAATTTTACCAACGTATCAGGACAAGAAGTTAAATGGTAATAATAATCTTTTGCATTTAATATTGCACTTTTCACATCAGAGGACAACTCAAAGCTCTCCACTAGATTTATTTATAATATGACTATGAATTTTGTAGGTGAGTAAATAATTAAATGATGCATCAGAAAACTATTTTTGTTGAAGAACAAAGCATAACAAAAAGAACAACCAGCCAATAAGTTTGGGCTTCATCTTTGAAGATAAATATCTCACAGTGAATTGTTTAGAGGTATGTAAGATTTCATAATACAATACAGTATGACTCACATTTTTATAGCACCTTTGAAAATTTAAATGTCTTCGAAATGCTTAAAGTATAATTGATTAGAAATGAAATCAATGTTATATCGTACTACATAAGGCGAGCTCCCACTTCCTTGCTTGGTGTCCAACACTGTTGCTGCACAGCGCTCCAAGATGTCATCCTATATGCAGTGCACTATTATAAATGCAAGTTGTTGTTGTTGCCATATAGGTTTCAGAAAGTGACTTCAGAAAAATACTTTCAGATATGCCAAAGTGGCAGGACAAGAGGGACTAAATTCTGAATTTTGATGGGCAATTTCAGGAACAGGCATCAGGAAGTATTACTTTGGATGGGGGGATAGTAAAGAGCCAGAAAGGGGTAATAGGAAGGGTGTAGAGACCAGATTACTGGACTCATTTAAGAAACAGCTTGATGCTGTAGGAAGAATAGAAGAATACTGATCCTACTGTCTTCCCAATAAGCAAAGGGGTCAAGAGGCCTTTTTCATCTGAACCTCTATTGTGATCTCTTCCAAATAATAATAA